GATCGACACACGTCATCTATAGCCAATACAGTAGTTAATAGATGATCGACACACGTCATCTATAGCCAATACAGTAGTTTATAGATGAGGTACACACATCATCTATAGCCAATACAGTAGGTTATAGATGATCGACACACGTCATCTATAGCCATTACAGTGGATTATAGATGAGGTACACACGTCATCCATAGCTAATACAGTAGTTTATAGATGAAGAACACACGTCATCTATAGCCAATACAGTGGATTATAGATGATCGATACACGTCATTTATAGCCAATACAGTAGGTTATAGATGAGGTACACACGCCATCTATATCCAATACAGTACTTTATAGATGATCGACACACGTCATCTATAGCCAATACAGTAGTTTATAGATGAGGTACACACATCATCTATAGCCAATACAGTGGATTATAGATGAGGTACACACGTCATCTATAGCCATTACAGTGGATTATAGATGAGGTACACACGTCATCTATGGCCAATACAGTAGGTTATAGATGATCGACACACGTCATGGATAGCCAAAACAGTATGTTTTAGATGAAGTACACACGTCATGCATGGCCAATACAATGGTTATAGATGATCGACACACGTCATCTATTGCCAATACAATAGGTTATAGATGAGGTACACAGGTCATCTATAGACAATACAGTAGGTTACAGATGAGGTACACACGTCGTCTATAGCCAATACAGTAGGTTATAGATGAGGTACACACGTCATCTATAGCCAACACAGTGGATTATAGATGAGGTACACACGTCATCTTTAGCCAATACAATAAGTTATAGATGAGGTACACACGTCATCTATTGCCAATACAGTAGGTTACACATGAAGTACACACGTCATCTATAGCCAATACAGTGGATTATAGATGAGGTACACACGTCATCTATAGCCAAGAAAATAGGTTACAAAAGATCGACACACGTCATCTATAGCCAATACAGTGGATTAAAGATAAGGTACAAACGTCATCTATTGCCAATACAGTAGGTTATAGATGAGGTACACACGTCATCTATAGCCAGCCAATACAGTAGGTTACAGATGATCGACACACGTCATCTATAGCCAATACAGTAGATTATAGATGAGGTACACACGTCATCTATAGCCAATACAGCAGTTTATAGATGAGGAACACATGCCATCTATAGCCAATACAGTAGGTTATAGATGAAGTACACACGCCATCTATAGCCAATACAGTAGTTTTTAGATGATCGGCACACGTCATCTATAGCCAATACAGTAGTTTATAGATGAGGTACACACATCATCTATAGCCAATACAGTAGGTTATAGATGAGGAACACACGTCATCTATAGCCATTACAGTGGATTATAGATGAGGTACACACGTCATCTATAGCCAATACAGTAGGTTATAGATGATCGACACACGTCATGTATAGCCAATACAATAGGTTATAGATGAGGTACACACGTCATCTATTGCCAATACAGTAGGTTACACATGAGGTACACACGTCATCTATAGCCAATACAGTGGATTATAGATGAGGTACACACGTCATCTATAGCCAATACTGTAGGTTATAGATGAGGTACACACGTCATATATCGCCAATACAGTAGGTTACAGATGAGGTACACACGTCATCTATACCCAATACAGTAGGTTAAAGATGGTCGACACACGTCATCTATAGCCAATACAGAAGTTTATAGATGAGGTACACACGTCATCTATAGCTAATACAATAGGTTATAGATGAGGTACACACGTCATCTATCGCCAATACTGTAGGTTATAGATGAGGTACACACGTCATCCATAGCCAATACAGTAGGTTAAAGATGGTCGACACACGTCATCTATAGCCAATACAATAGGTTATAGATGAGGTACACACGTCATCCATAGCCAATACAGTAGGTTAAAGATGGTCGACACACGTCATCTATAGCTAATACAATAGGTTATAGATGAGGTACACACGTCATCTATCGCCAATACTGTAGGTTATAGATGAGGTACACACGTCATCCATAGCCAATACAGTAGGTTAAAGATGGTCGACACACGTCATCTATAGCCAATACAGTGGATTATAGATAAGGTACACACGCCATCTATAGCCAATACAATAGGATATAGATGATCGACACACGTCATCTATACCCAATACAGTAGGTTAAAGATGGTCGACACACGTCATCTATAGCCAATACAGTGGATTATAGATAAGGTACACACGCCATCTATAGCCAATACAATAGGATATAGATGATCGACACACGTCATCTATACCCAATACAGTAGGTTAAAGATGGTCGACACACGTCATCTATAGCCAATACAGAAGTTTATAGATGAGGTACACACGTCATCTATAGCTAATACAATAGGTTATAGATGAGGTACACACGTCATCTATCGCCAATACTGTAGGTTATAGATGAGGTACACACGTCATCCATAGCCAATACAGTAGGTTAAAGATGGTCGACACACGTCATCTATAGCCAATACAGTGGATTATAGATAAGGTACACACGCCATCTATAGCCAATACAATAGGATATAGATGATCGACACACGTCATCTATACCCAATACAGTAGGTTAAAGATGGTCGACACACGTCATCTATAGCCAATACAGAAGTTTATAGATGAGGTACACACGTCATCTATAGCTAATACAATAGGTTATAGATGAGGTACACACGTCATCTATCGCCAATACTGTAGGTTATAGATGAGGTACACACGTCATCCATAGCCAATACAGTAGGTTAAAGATGGTCGACACACGTCATCTATAGCCAATACAGTGGATTATAGATAAGGTACACACGCCATCTATTGTGAATACAGTAGGTTATAGATGAGGTACACACGTCATCTATCGCCAATACTGTAGGTTATAGATGAGGTACACACGTCATCCATAGCCAATACAGTAGGTTAAAGATGGTCGACACACGTCATCTATAGCCAATACAGTAGGTTATATACGATACGACACACGTCATGTATATCCAATACAGTGGATTATAGATGAGGTACACACGTCATCTATTGCCAATACAGTTGGTTATAGATGAGGTACACATGTCATCTATAGCCAATACAGTAGGTTACAGATGATCGACACACGTCATGTATAGCCAATACAGTATGTTTTATATGAAGTACACACGTCATGTATGGCCAATACGTAGGTACGACGGGTGTTCCTTAAAGATTTCCCCTAAACCACTTAGGGTTATCATATTTGGTTGAAATTTCACATGTGTAATGATACATGTATCTATGGGTTATGTCTGAACTTGCAGCACCGATCGCGAACTATTAATCTTACCACTTTTACAGGTGTTATGATCGAGTAGGGTGTGACAATGGAGCCAGTAGAATACCGAGCAGTGATTAGGTTTTTATATTTGAAAGGTCGCACACCAAAAGAAACTTTTGATGAAATGAAAACAACTTATGGGGAAGAAGCCCTATCATATGACGTTGTTAAACACTGGCATCGCCAGTTCAAGTGTGGTCGGACATCTGTGGAAACAGCTGCCATTCCTGGTCGCCCCAATTCAGCCATTGATGAGGACACTATCCATCAAGTGGAGACCGCCATTTTGGCAGACCGACGTATAACTGTTCGCCAGTTAGCACAAGATGTCAAGATCAGTGTAGGGTCTGTGGAAAAAATCATCCATGACAATTTGAACATGCATAAGGTGTCTGCACGATGGATTCCCAGGTTGCTCACACCTTTCCAAAAGCAGGAACGAGTCAATTGCTCAAAGGATCTTTTGGACAGGCAAACTTTTTTGACAGACTTATCACACAGGATGAAACATGGGTCCATCACTATGATCCTGAGACTAAAGTTCAGTCGATGCAATGGAAGCATGTGGAGTCACCACCCCCAAAGAAGGCACGTGTCCAACCCTCTGCAGGCAAGGTCATGCTCACGGTGTTTTGGGACCAGCGCGGAGTAGTGATGATGGATTTCTTGGCAAAGGGTACCACAATTACAGGAGCTTATTATGCTTCACTGCTGCGGAAATTGCGGGACGCTATCAAGCTTAAGAGGCGTGGCATGCTGACCAAGGGTGTCCGTCTCCTGCAAGACAATGCTCCAGTACACAACTCTCATGTTGCCCAGGCACAAGCGAGGTCCTGTGGCTATGAAATCCTTCCACATCCTCCTTACTCTCCTGACCTTGCACCATCTGACTTCCATCTCTTTCCAACCATGAAGTCATTTTTGAAGGGAAAACGTTTCACTGATTTCTGAAGTCAAGTCCTGGTTTGAGACGCAAAATGAGGGCTTTTACAAGCGTGGTCTCCATAGTTGCATAAAACGATGGGAGAAGTGTGTAACTCTTGGTGGTTCCTATGTGGAGAAAGACTAATACCTATGCCAAGTTTCATTCCACTAGGTCCATCGGAAGTGGGTCAGGGGAAATCTTTAATGAACACCCCTCGTATCTCTCATGAGAATGAACTGAGGAACGAACTGGACATGACAAAGGTTTCAGCATCCTTGGTTGCCAGGCTTCTGACTCCTGAACAGGACTATCATCTCTCGTGAGAATTTCCGTCGTTTTACACCAGACCCAGCAGATGATGTCAGCTTCAACCAGGGATTGTAGAAGTAATTTAGGGCGCCTTTGGTGCTTATTGTTTGCAAAAACCTAGATATATAAGAATGCCGCATGATCTTTCACGTAAGGCAAGTGAATAGAAAGTAATTTTAAATTACTACGCGCTTTATATCGCTATTTAAGTGGAATATTTGGGAAGAGACACCCATGAATAACGTCATTTCAAAATAAAATATTGGATATAAATGACAATGATATATCGTCAATTGCGTTCAAACATACAGGATACGAACTTGGGAATCCGTATTTGACCATGGAAACTGCCCTTCGCTTGTGTTTTTATCTCCCCTACTGAAATCTTTCCTACTTGGAGGTAGAAAGAGTAATATAAAAGGGCGACAACTCTTGCCCCTGGAAAGTTTATACCAAAATTGGAACGTGTGAGACAATCCAGCCAAGTCAACTATGTCGTCCGATGTCGATACACTCATGGAAATGGGATTTTCCAGGAACAAAGCGTATGATTTTAGGCTCTGACAATTCAGTTCATACATTTTTCTGAATCTTCAGTGTCTGTCTGACTCGAAGATTGAAACGATGCAAACTTCACGTTTGATTATATTTAGCTACGGGTATTGTTTCATAATTTAAATACACATGATCATTACTAGTTACAAAGAAATAACACTGCTTTTGAGACTTATCTACAGGGTTTCAGATTGTTCAATTTCCGATATTCTTATAGTTATAGTTAACCAAAATGGTGACATAATATTATATGATTTTGAGCAGTGTCCTAGACCAGGCGAAGGAACTAACACGTGAAACAGCTCAATAACAGCAAGTATCGGGAGCGAGCTGCACATTTCCCAACTGGAGATTGTTAACACGTTTATATATGGACGCATGTGTATATCCCCATTCTGAATATAAAATATGTCTTTCAATGTCACTATACATTGTCATTCACATTTTCGACTGCTGACCCCCTGGAATAGTTGTGAGTACATCGGTAAACAAACAAAAAATAATAACAGTATCACAGCCTAAACATATCTGCCGGATATCACATAACACACTTGTGTTTGTCCTGAGCGAGCTGAATCTGATCATTGCTGATAACTGTTTTGATATTTTCACATGTTTCAGGCAAAGGGCCTTGGCAAAAACCAATTATAAGGGAGTTCAGTTAGCTATGGATTGGTGAGTAAAACAGTTTTCTATTATCATGATTACCATGATTAATACAAGTCCCTACGATGGTATGACGTTTTGGGGATTCCAGGATAGAATCGGTCCCAAGCAACCGATGATGGTAATGAGAGGCGATCAAACAAATTGAGTAGTCAGGCTTGGTGACCTGGTTTGATTGCTTGTCATCATACCCTGACGGGATGGATTGTTGCTCACAATATCCATCACTGGATTGTTAGTTCCAGACTTGATGATTTACAAGCTGCCATCATATCGCTGGAATATTGCTGCATGCAGCGCTAAACAACAAGTAAAGTGAAATGATCAATATCTCACACACACATCATACACCTTGATTGTTTTCATCAGGTTCACAGTGAAGTCAAAATGAGTGAAATCTTCATATAACCATCTTCCCGAGGCAAGAGAGTTAACTAACTTTGAAAGTCCAGTTTCCACCCTTGCCGAACTAGGCTGGAATTCCTGGGTTCGATCATAGCGCCACCACTGGCTATTACGAGTTATGTCCTTTCTATGCCTCTCCTATTGACCAATCAGATTCAACCTCTCATATCACTTGCATTTGTTTTAAACAAAACGGTGGCACCCAGTCAAGACGATCTGATCGATAATCCAGATCTATATTGTGATAGAACGAGTCTTACATCGTGAAGTGCATCAAATCACGTGAGCACCTTGATAGAAAACATGAAAAGATTTAGAAAATATCTGTTGACAACAAGTTAGCGGTGCACATGCTTTGCAAATCCTGCAGTCGACCGAAATCTGCATGACACTCTGCGGACCGGATTTCGATTTCGGTGCGCGATTTTGATTGGACTATGCATAGACTCGTTAGTCCAGCCAAAATCTAACTCCATAATACCAGCCTTGTTCGGCAAGGGTGGAAACTGGACTTTTATAGTCAGTTAACTCACTTGCCTCGGGAAGATGCACATAACCAGCTGCCCAGACCATGCTATACCTGGTGGTTTGAAGTACCAGGCTATTAGTTCTATCCAGATATGAAAGGTAGATCTATGGCTGGTATATGATCAATAGGTAGAGATGGTAGAGCTTGAGAAAACCCCAATGGCAACCAACATCAGCCAAAGGAAAATGTCTGGACTCATACTGCATGCATGTATGCATGAACGATTGAGCATTCATCTTGTCCAAAAGTGTTCAGTTTAGGATATTGTTATTAATAATAACAGTATCCTGCAGAAGTATTCACCATAAAGTTTTATGACACAGAAATCTGCTATTTCATGTGGGCATATGGTTTGGATATTTGAAGTCTATCAACATTTCATTGTAAATTCAAAGTTGGACACATGTCTGTTTGGCCACTGACTCCTCTACTTGTCTGATGCAGGTTGTTTGCCCATGATGGAGATGCAGACATTGATGAACCTTTCGAAGCTCCCAAGGGAAATGTTCTTGGTAAAACAGAAGGTAGGGATCACAGTTATCAGCCTCTTCACCATGACACTGTTTGTAAAGCTGGACTCCTTACATAGTCAGCAAAGGTTCTTTACAGTTTCCTGTCCTGTTTAAGACCCTGGTCATTCTTATGCTACTCACAATTTGGAAGATTAACTGCACATCATACATAAGTGTTTTGCTTCAATATCATACCTGGCATGAAATATACTTGTTTGTGCACCAGTATGCAAGAATGCCATATTAGATGTGTGGTTTCAGATCTCCCTGCCCCTCCCACAACTGCAGGGGGAGAGGGGCCGGACGCCCCAGGTGAAGAAAACATGCAAGCCAGGTCACTCAAGTGTGATGAGTGAGTACCCGGGTAGAAGCAACAGCAGCATGCTATATCTACATCACCATTTCACAGGTGATGATGGCCTCAAGGATGCAACTTAACCTGAAATAATACTACCCCTGAGGATACTTTAACCTTGGACAAACTGACTTGTGCCAGCAGGCTAGTGTCAATGTACACCTCTGTATACTAATTATGCTAATTAAGCATTCTAATGATCCGTAAGCATGTCTGATTAGTTGGTTAGTTTACCTATGCTATACCATGTTCCCTATTTCTGCTGTGAGCCTCACACACAGTGACAAGTGTTGTGTAGCCCACCACTAATAGGTAATACTGAAACTCAAGATGACAACAGTCAGCTGTAATGCAGGGTTAGAACTAAACTCGAAGTTTTGCTACCCCGGGCAAAGATAAAATGCCCTTGTAATTTTAAGACAGTGGGAAATTGGGAAATTTGTACCAGCCAACAGGAATTTGTAGTAGCGAGGGCTAGCGGTCTAGTGTTAAGTACTACAAATCATTGTTATATTATAATGACCACAATCTACAACCTTCTTTGGTTTGTGCAAGATTGCATTCAGATGGCTAAGTTAGATAAGGAGCTTACAATACATGTTTTACAAAGTATACTGGATGAAGCATCCCTCATATCCTAGATCAAGAGAAGAATTGTTACGTCCTATGTGTTCTGCAGGTGTGGCAAGTTGCTGAGGTCAGAGATGGACGCTCAGGCCCATGCAGCTCGCACACAACATGCCAGCTTCTCTGAGAGCACAGAAGAGATTAAACCCCTCACAGACGAGGAGAAGAAACAAAAGCTTCAAGAGTGAGTTGACAAATGTGTCTGGAGAGAGTGAGTGAGTTAGTGCCATATTGTTGTAGCTTACAGAAGCCTGGGCTGTAGGATGCATAGATACTGACAGTGTGAGCCAACAAAGGCTTCATTCTTACACCTGTGAATTCCTTTCAGTAGTGACGATTGTTCATGTCCAGTGTAGTAGATGCTGGGAATATATTTTAAATTTAATTAATTTTGGATTATTATGTTAATTGTTCAACTATGTGGTTGATAGGCATGTGTGTACTAGTGAGTGAAGTTGTTGTCAGTCTACAGGACCGGTTGAAGCAGCGGCGGATGGCGAAGGATGAGGAGGAGAAGAAGGAGCAGATCGCCCGGGAGAAGGCCCGGCGCACCACAAACAAGGAACTAGGCATGGCCAAGCAGAAGTAAGGCAGGCACCATCTTGTCACCAACCTTTGTCTGTGCTTCTAAACATGACCTGAAGATGTTAGCTTGATGTGTTAATGACTTGATGTGTTAATGACATGATATGTATATTTTTGCAAAATGAATAATTAAAATAAAGAAGATCAGATTGTAAGAAACCAGTTGTCATGGTTACCAGAAACTTTCACATCGGTAAAATCTATCTGCATATGTCTCTATGTCAACTTTGAGGGAAGAGAAATGGTGATCATGATCACATGATACAGAATCTGCTGTGTCCAAGTGAGTTATTGGGTATATGTGAGTACACATGCAGGTCACAGCTGTACACCTTGGTATATGTGAGTACACATTCAGGTCACAGCTGTACACCTTGGTATATGTGAGTACACATGCAGGTCACAGCTGTACACCTGGGTATATGTGAGTACACATTCAGGTCACAGCTGTACACCTGGGTATATGTGAGTACACATCCAGGTCACAGCTGTACACCTGGGTATATGTGAGTACACATGCAGGTCACAGCTGTACACCTTGGTATATGTGAGTACACATTCAGGTCACAGCTGTACACCTGGGTATATGTGAGTACACATGCAGGTCACAGCTGCACACCTGGGTATATGTGAGTACACATGCAGGTCACAGCTGTACACCTTGGTATATGTGAGTACACATTCAGGTCACAGCTGTACACCTGGGTATATGTGAGTACACATGCAGGTCACAGCTGTACACCTGGTTATATGTGAGTACACATGCAGGTCACAGCTGTACACCTGGGTATATGTGAGTACACATTCTGGTCACAGCTGTACACCTGGGTATATGTGAGTACACATGCAGGTCACAGCTGTACACCTGGGTATATGTGAGTACACATTCAGGTCACAGCTGTACACCTTGGTATATGTGAGTACACATTCAGGTCACAGCTGTACACCTGGGTATATGTTAGTACACATTCAGGTCACAGCTGCACACCTGGGTATATGTGAGTACACATGCAGGTCACAGCTGTACACCTGGGTATATGTGAGTACACATTCTGGTCACAGCTGTACACCTTGGTATATGTGAGTACACATGCAGGTCACAGCTGTACACCTGGGTATATGTGAGTACACATGCAGGTCACAGCTGCACACCTGGGTATATGTGAGTACACATAGAGGTCACAGCTGTACACCTGAGTATATGTGAGTACACATTCTGGTCACAACTGTACACCTTGGTATATGTGAGTACACATTCAGATCACAGATGTACACCTGGGTATATGTGAGTACACATTCAGGTCACAGCTGTACACCTGGGTATATGTGAGTACACATTCTGGTCACAACTGTACACCTTGGTATATGTGAGTACACATTCAGATCACAGTTGTACACCTGGGTATATGTGAGTACACATCCAGGTCACAGCTGTACACCTGGGTATATGTGAGTACACATGCAGGTCACAGCTGTACACCTCGGTATATGTGAGTATACATTCAGGTCACAGCTGTACACCTGGTTATATGTGAGTACACATTCAGGTCACAGCTGCAACCTGGGTATATGTGAGTACACATGCAGGTCACAGTTGTACACCTGGGTATATGTGAGTACACATGCAGGTCACAGCTGTACACCTGGGTATATGTGAATACACATTCAGGTCACAGCTGTACACCTGGGTATATGTGAGTACACATGCAGGTCACAGCTGTACACCTTGGTATATGTGAGTACACATTCAGGTCACAGCTGTACACCTGGGCATATGTGAATACACATTCTGGTCACAACTGTACACCTTGGTATATGTGAGTTCACATTCAGATCACAGATGTACACCTCGGTATATGTGAGTACACATTCAGGTCACAGCTGTACACCTGGTTATATGTGAGTACACATCCAGGTCACAGCTGTACACCTGGGTATATGTGAGTACACATGCAGGTTACAGCTGCACACCTGGGTATATGTGAGTACACATGCAGGTCACAGCTGTACACCTGGGTATATGTGAGTACACATGCAGGTCGCAGCTGTACACCTGGGTATATGTAATTATACATGCAGGTCACAGCTGCACACCTGGGTATATGTGAGTACACATGCAGGTCACAGCTGTACACCTTGGTATGTCCCTTGAGTTGCAAGTAGATAGTGTGTTTATTCTGCTGACAGAATTGAGGAGGAGGAGATAAAGAAGATAGCGGAGCATAGAAGGCGGGAGAAGATGGAGGAGAGGCAGGCCAGGTGAGCAGGAGACACACACTCAGAGTTGCTTCCCTTTACCTATAATGAAGTTTGTAGGTCAGGGATCAAAACTGTATGGGGGCCAAATTTCCTGTTGTTACCTCACCCGACAGAAAGTCAAGTGGGCTTATGTTTTGGCGTGTTGTCTGTCTTCCAACTTTTTTCATTTTCAACATGTCTTAAACTCCAAGGCCTATGTGAGTATGAAGCTGAAACTTTGCATGAATGGTCCCAACTATGATGTTTCTAAATACTGCTCACAGAATCGTTTTCAGCGTTTAACATGTTCAGTGGTAGTGCTAGGACTCCCAGTTGCCTACTAGTCCGAAGCCCCTGTCTAGTAACATTTCTAATGACCTAGTAAGATCAGCTTGTACTAGTCTGCATACTAAGACTGAAAATAACACCCAAATGGAAGGCTAGCAGACTCAGAGTGAAGTTGGCCTGGGTGTAGTGTCCCTTTAAACACAGAGTAGTGTTGTTGCTTCATACTGTGAAACTTGTTGTTTCATACTATGTGGATCAGTAAGTTTTATTTGTGGTTGAATGTGCAAAATTGCAACAATATGTGTGTACCAGTGAGTTCCTCTCTTGGACTGTTGACTTCTTGTTCCAGAGAGCGTGTGAGAGAGCAGATAGCGAAGGACAAGGCTGACAGAGCTGCTAAGGTAAGCTAAGTTATAGCTTTGCAAGCACTCTTTACTTGTGGCTGATAAAAGTGAAACGACTTTGATACTTACTGGTAGTTTTACATCATTGCATTAAATGCTTTGTTAAAAAATCTCTCATTTGGAGAAAATAGGATGTTTAAAAAAATCCCAATTTTGAACCTATCAATGCTTGTTTTCCTGGTGTCCAGGTGCAGTTAGTGTGGAATCCTAGATATTTCTCTGATTTGTTTGTGTACTGTTCACAAATTGAAGTTCTTCAGACCATGCAGTGGATTGAGCTCAATTAATGTGTTAGGTGTTTCTGATCCTAAAGGGGCATGGATGGGCCAGTCGTCTCAGGTGCCGCGATGCTGGTACACAGTGGACTGTTTGTAGTGTGGCCAGACTGTGTGTTCAGTGTGGTCGTGATGCTGGTACACTGTGGACTGTTTGTAGTGTGGCCAGACTGTGTGTTCAGTGTGGTCGTGATGCTGGTACACTGTGGACTGTTTGTAGTGTGGCCAGACTGTGTGTTCAGTGTGGTCGTGATGCTGGTACACTGTGGACTGTTTGTAGTTTGGCATGACTGTGTTCAGTGTGGTCGTGATGCTGGTACACTGTGGACTGTTTGTAGTGTGGCCAGACTGTGTGTTCAGTGTGGTCGTGATGCTGGTACACTATGAACTGTTTGTAGTTTGGCATGACTGTGTTCAGTGTGGTTGTGATGCTGGTACACTGTGGACTGTTTGTAGTGTGGCATGACTGTGTTCAGTGTGGTCGTGATGCTGGTACACTATGAACTGTTTGTAGTGTGGCATGACTGTGTTCAGTGTGGTCGTGATGCTGGTACACTGTGGACTGTAGTGTGGCCAGACTGTGTGTTCAGTGTGGTCGTGATGCTGGTACACTATGGACTGTTTGTAGTTTGGCCAGACTGTGTGTTCAGTGTGATTGTGATGCTGGTACACTATGGACTGTTTGTAGTGTGGCCAGACTGTGTGTTCAGTGTTATCGTGATGCTGGTACACTGTGGACTGTTTGTAGTGTGGCCAGACTGTGTGTTCAGTGTGGTCGTGATGCTGGTACACTGTGGACTGTTTGTAGTGTGGCCAGACTGTGTGTTCAGTGTGGTCGTGATGCTGGTACACTGTGGACTGTTTGTAGTGTGGCCAGACTGTGTGTTCAGTGTGGTCGTGATGCTGGTACACTGTGGACTGTTTGTAGTGTGGCATGACTGTGTTCAGTGTGGTCGTGATGCTGGTACACTGTGGACTGTTTGTAGTGTGGCCAGACTGTGTGTTCAGTGTGGTCGTGATGCTGGTACACTATGAACTGTTTGTAGTTTGGCATGACTGTGTTCAGTGTGGTCGTGATGCTGGTACACTGTGGACTGTTTGTAGTGTGGCATGACTGTGTTCAGTGTGGTCGTGATGCTGGTACACTATGAACTGTTTGTAGTGTGGCATGACTGTGTTCAGTGTGGTCGTGATGCTGGTACACTGTGGACTGTAGTGTGGCCAGACTGTGTGTTCAGTGTGGTCGTGATGCTGGTACACTATGGACTGTTTGTAGTTTGGCCAGACTGTGTGTTCAGTGTGATTGTGATGCTGGTACACTATGGACTGTTTGTAGTGTGGCCAGACTGTGTGTTCAGTGTTATCGTGATGCTGGTACACTGTGGACTGTTTGTAGTGTGGCCAGACTGTGTGTTCAGTGTGGTCGTGATGCTGGTACACTGTGGACTGTTTGTAGTGTGGCCAGACTGTGTGTTCAGTGTGATCGTGATGCTGGTACCCTATGGACTGTTTGTAGTTTGGCCAGACTGTGTGTTCAGTGTGGTCGTGATGCTGGTACACTGTGGACTGTTTGTAGTGTGGCCAGACTGTGTGTTCAGTGTGGTCGTGATGCTGGTACACTATGAACTGTTTGTAGTTTGGCATGACTGTGTTCAGTGTGGTCGTGATGCTGGTACCCTATGGACTGTTTGTAGTGTGGCATGACTGTGTTCAGTGTGGTCGTGATGCTGGTACACTGTGGACTGTTTGTAGTTTGGCAAGACTGTGTGTTCAGTGTGGTCGTGATGCTGGTACACTGTGGACTGTTTGTAGTGTGGCAAGACTGTGTGTTCAGTGTGATCGTGATGACGGTACACTATGGACTGTTTGTAGTGTGGCATGACTGTGTTCAGTGTGATCGTGATGCTGGTACCCTATGGACTGTTTATAGTGTGGCCAGACTGTGTGTTCAGTGTGGTCGTGATGCTGGTACCCTATGGACTGTTTGTAGTGTGGCCAGACTGTGTGTTCAGTGTGGTTGTGATGCTTGTACACTGTGGACTGTTTGTAGTTTGGCCAGACTGTGTGTTAAGTGTGATCGTGATGCTGGTACACTATGGACTGTTTGTAGTTTGGCAAGACTGTGTGTTCAGTGTGGTCGTGATGCTGGTACCCTATGGACTGTTTGTAGTGTGGCCAGACTGTGTGTTCAGTGTGGTCGTGATGCTGGTACCCTATGGACTGTTTGTAGTTTGGCATGACTGTGTTCAGTGTGGTCGTGATGCTGGTACACTATGGACTGTTTGTAGTTTGGCCAGACTGTGTGTTCAGTGTGGTTGTGATGCTGGTACACTGTGGACTGTTTGTAGTTTGGCCAGACTGTGTGTTAAGTGTGATCGTGATGCTGGTACACTATGGATTGTTTGTAGTGTGGCCAGACTGTGTGTTCAGTGTGGTCGTGATGCTGGTACACTGTGGACTGTTTGTAGTTTGGCCAGACTGTGTGTTCAGTGTGGTCGTGATGCTGGTACACTGTGGACTGTTTGTAGTGTGGCATGACTGTGTTCAGTGTGATCGTGATGCTGGTACCCTATGGACTGTTTATAGTGTGGCCAGACTGTGTGTTCAGTGTGGTCGTGATGCTGGTACCCTATGGACTGTTTGTAGTGTGGCCAGACTGTGTGTTCAGTGTGGTTGTGATGCTTGTACACTGTGGACTGTTTGTAGTTTGGCCAGACTGTGTGTTAAGTGTGATCGTGATGCTGGTACACTATGGACTGTTTGTAGTTTGGCAAGACTGTGTGTTCAGTGTGGTCGTGATGCTGGTACCCTATGGACTGTTTGTAGTGTGGCCAGACTGTGTGTTCAGTGTGGTCGTGATGCTGGTACCCTATGGACTGTTTGTAGTTTGGCATGACTGTGTTCAGTGTGGTCGTGATGCTGGTACACTATGGACTGTTTGTAGTTTGGCCAGACTGTGTGTTCAGTGTGGTTGTGATGCTGGTACACTGTGGACTGTTTGTAGTTTGGCCAGACTGTGTGTTAAGTGTGATCGTGATGCTGGTACACTATGGATTGTTTGTAGTGTGGCCAGACTGTGTGTTAAGTGTGATCGTGATGCTGGTACACTGTGGACTGTTTGTAGTTTGGCCAGACTGTGTGTTCAGTGTGGTCGTGATGCTGGTACACTGTGGACTGTTTGTAGTTTGGCCAGACTGTGTGTTCAGTGTGATCGTGATGCTGGTACCCTATGGACTGTTTGTAGTTTGGCCAGACTGTGTGTTCAGTGTGGTCGTGATGCTGGTACACTGTGGACTGTTTGTAGTGTGGCCAGACTGTGTGTTCAGTGTTATCGTGATGCTGGTACACTGTGGACTGTTTGTAGTGTGGCCAGACTGTGTGTTCAGTGTGGTCGTGATGCTGGTACACTGTGGACTGTTTGTAGTGTGGCCAGACTGTGTGTTCAGTGTGATCGTGATGCTGGTACCCTATGGACTGTTTGTAGTTTGGCCAGACTGTGTGTTCAGTGTGGTCGTGATGCTGGTACACTGTGGACTGTTTGTAGTGTGGCCAGACTGTGTGTTCAGTGTGGTCGTGATGCTGGTACACTATGAACTGTTTGTAGTTTGGCATGACTGTGTTCAGTGTGGTCGTGATGCTGGTACCCTATGGACTGTTTGTAGTGTGGCATGACTGTGTTCAGTGTGGTCGTGATGCTGGTACACTGTGGACTGTTTGTAGTTTGGCAAGACTGTGTGTTCAGTGTGGTCGTGATGCTGGTACACTGTGGACTGTTTGTAGTGTGGCAAGACTGTGTGTTCAGTGTGATCGTGATGACGGTACACTATGGACTGTTTGTAGTGTGGCATGACTGTGTTCAGTGTGATCGTGATGCTGGTACCCTATGGACTGTTTATAGTGTGGCCAGACTGTGTGTTCAGTGTGGTCGTGATGCTGGTACCCTATGGACTGTTTGTAGTGTGGCCAGACTGTGTGTTCAGTGTGGTTGTGATGCTTGTACACTGTGGACTGTTTGTAGTTTGGCCAGACTGTGTGTTAAGTGTGATCGTGATGCTGGTACACTATGGACTGTTTGTAGTTTGGCAAGACTGTGTGTTCAGTGTGGTCGTGATGCTGGTACCCTATGGACTGTTTGTAGTGTGGCCAGACTGTGTGTTCAGTGTGGTCGTGATGCTGGTACCCTATGGACTGTTTGTAGTTTGGCATGACTGTGTTCAGTGTGGTCGTGATGCTGGTACACTATGGACTGTTTGTAGTTTGGCCAGACTGTGTGTTCAGTGTGGTTGTGATGCTGGTACACTGTGGACTGTTTGTAGTTTGGCCAGACTGTGTGTTAAGTGTGATCGTGATGCTGGTACACTATGGATTGTTTGTAGTGTGGCCAGACTGTGTGTTCAGTGTGGTCGTGATGCTGGTACACTGTGGACTGTTTGTAGTTTGGCCAGACTGTGTGTTCAGTGTGGTCGTGATGCTGGTACACTGTGGACTGTTTGTAGTGTGGCATGACTGTGTTCAGTGTGATCGTGATGCTGGTACCCTATGGACTGTTTATAGTGTGGCCAGACTGTGTGTTCAGTGTGGTCGTGATGCTGGTACCCTATGGACTGTTTGTAGTGTGGCCAGACTGTGTGTTCAGTGTGGTTGTGATGCTTGTACACTGTGGACTGTTTGTAGTTTGGCCAGACTGTGTGTTAAGTGTGATCGTGATGCTGGTACACTATGGACTGTTTGTAGTTTGGCAAGACTGTGTGTTCAGTGTGGTCGTGATGCTGGTACCCTATGGACTGTTTGTAGTGTGGCCAGACTGTGTGTTCAGTGTGGTCGTGATGCTGGTACCCTATGGACTGTTTGTAGTTTGGCATGACTGTGTTCAGTGTGGTCGTGATGCTGGTACACTATGGACTGTTTGTAGTTTGGCCAGACTGTGTGTTCAGTGTGGTTGTGATGCTGGTACACTGTGGACTGTTTGTAGTTTGGCCAGACTGTGTGTTAAGTGTGATCGTGATGCTGGTACACTATGGATTGTTTGTAGTGTGGCCAGACTGTGTGTTCAGTGTGGTCGTGATGCTGGTACACTGTGGACTGTTTGTAGTTTGGCCAGACTGTGTGTTCAGTGTGGTCGTGATGCTGGTACACTGTGGACTGTTTGTAGTTTGGCCAGACTGTGTGTTAAGTGTGATCGTGATGCTGGTACACTATGGATTGTTTGTAGTGTGGCCAGACTGTGTGTTCAGTGTGGTCGTGATGCTGGTACACTGTGGACTGTTTGTAGTTTGGCCAGACTGTGTGTTCAGTGTGGTCGTGATGCTGGTACACTGTGGACTGTTTGTAGTGTTGCCAGACTGTGTGTTCAGTGTGGTCGTGATGCTGGTACACTGTGGACTGTTTGTAGTGTGGCCAGACTGTGTGTTCAGTGTGGTCGTGATGCTGGTACCCTATGAACTGTTTGTAGTTTGGCATGACTGTGTTCAGTGTGGTCGTGATGCTGGTACACTGTGGACTGTTTGTAGTTTGGCAAGACTGTGTGTTCAGTGTGGTCGTGATGCTGGTACACTGTGGACTGTTTGTAGTGTGGCCAGACTGTGTGTTCAGTGTGGTCGTGATGCTGGTACACTATGGACTGTTTGTAGTGTGGCATGACTGTGTGTTCAGTGTGGTCGTGATGCTGGTACACTGTGGACTGTTTGTAGTTTGGCAAGACTGTGTGTTCAGTGTGGTCGTGATGCTGGTACACTGTGGACTGTTTGTAGTGTGGCCAGACTGTGTGTTCAGTGTGGTCGTGATGCTGGTACACTATGGACTGTTTGTAGTGTGGCATGACTGTGTTCAGTGTGGTCGTGATGCTGGTACACTGTAGACTGTTTGTAGTGTGGCCAGACTGTGTGTTCAGTGTGGTCGTGATGCTGGTACACTGTGGACTGTTTGTAGTGTGGCCAGACTGTGTGTTCAGTTTGGTCGTGATGCTGGTACACTGTGGACTGTTTGTAGTGTGGCCAGACTGTGTGTTCAGTGTGGTCGTGATGCTGGTACACTGTGGACTGTTTGTAGTGTGGCCAGACTGTGTGTTCAGTGTGGTCGTGATGCTGGTACACTGTGGACTGTTTGTAGTGTGGCCAGACTATGTTCAGTGTGGTCGTGATGCTGGTACACTGTGGACTGTTTGTAGTGTGGCCAGACTGTGTGTTCAGTGTGGTCGTGATGCTGGTACACTATGAACTGTTTGTAGTTTGGCATGACTGTGTTCAGTGTGGTCATGATGCTGGTACACTATTGACTGTTTGTAGTTTGGCATGACTGTGTTCAGTGTGGTCGTGATGCTGGTACACTGTGGACTGTTTGTAGTTTGGCCAGACTGTGTGTTCAGTGTGGTCGTGATGCTGGTACACTGTGGACTGTTTGTAGTTTGGCCAGACTGTGTGTTCAGTGTGATCGTGATGCTGGTACACTGTGGACTGTTTGTAGTTTGGCATGACTGTGTTCAGTGTGATCGTGATGCTGGTACACTATGGACTGTTTGTAGTTTGGCAAGACTGTGTGTTCAGTGTGGTCGTGATGCTGGTACCCTATGGACTGTTTGTAGTGTGGCCAGACTGTGTGTTCAGTGTGGTCGTGATGCTGGTACCCTATGGACTGTTTGTAGTTTGGCCAGACTGTGTGTTCAGTGTGGTCGTGATGCTGGTACACTGTGGACTGTTTGTAGTTTGGCCAGACTGTGTGTTCAGTGTGATCGTGATGCTGGTACACTGTGGACTGTTTGTAGTTTGGCATGACTGTGTGTTCAGTGTGGTCGTGATGCTGGTACACTATGAACTGTTTGTAGTTTGGCATGACTGTGTTCAGTGTGGTCGTGATGCTGGTACACTATGGACTGTTTGTAGTTTGGCCAGACGGTGTGTTCAGTGTGGTCGTGATGCTGGTACACTGTGGACTGTTTGTAGTGTGGCAAGACTGTGTGTTCAGTGTGGTCGTGATGCTGGTACCCTATGGACTGTTTGTAGTGTGGCATGACTGTGTTCAGTGTGGTCGTGATGCTGGTACACTGTGGACTGTTTGTAGTGTGGCCAGACTGTGTTCAGTGTGGTCGTGATGCTGGTACACTATGGACTGTTTGTAGTTTGGCATGACTGTGTTTAGTGTGATCGTGATGCTGGTACACTGTGGATTGTTTGTAGTGTGGCCAGACTGTGTGTTCAGTGTGGTCGTGATGCTGGTACACTATGGACTGTTTGTAGTGTGGCCAGACTGTGTGTTCAGTGTGGTCGTGATGCTGGTACCCTATGGACTGTTTGTAGTGTGGCATGACTGTGTTCAGTGTGGTCGTGATGCTGGTACACTGTGGACTGTTTGTAGTGTGGCAAGACTGTGTGTTCAGTGTGATCGTGATGCTGGTACACTATTGACTGTTTGTAGTTTGGCATGACTGTGTTCAGTGTGATCGTGATGACGGTACACTATGGACTGTTTGTAGTTTGGCCAGACTGTGTGTTTAGTGTGATCGTAATGCTGGTACACTGTGGATTGTTTGTAGTTTGGCCAGACTGTGTGTTCAGTTTGGTCGTGATGCTGGTACACTGTGGACTGTTTGTAGTTTGGCATGACTGTGTGTTCAGTGTGGTCGTGATGCTGGTACCCTATGGACTGTTTGTAGTGTGGCCAGACTGTGTGTTCAGTGTGGTCGTGATGCTGGTACACTGTGGACTGTTTGTAGTTTGGCATGACTGTGTTCAGTGTTATCGTGATGCTGGTACACTATGGAGTGTTTGTAGTGTGGCATGACTGTGTTCAGTGTGATCGTGATGCTGGTACACTATTGACTGTGTGTAGTGTGGCATGACTGTGTTCAGTGTGGTCGTGATGCTGGTACACTGTTGACTGTTTGTAGTTTGGCAAGACCAGCCAGCATTCCCCCCCATCAGCAGCCTGCCCCCCTGCTTCCACCCAGACAACAGGAGCAGCAGCAGCCCCCAAGGAGTACGACACCTGCCGACTACAGGTATGTTCCGCAGTGAGGGGACTGGTAGCAGCATCTGTCATCATGTCACACAGCATTGCTTGCTTGTCACCAACTAAACAATGCTAAATAGGTCACATTTCAGCCCTCTAAGTGATAACTCATCCTGGTCACACATGAGTAGTGTAAAATATTCAATACAGACTACAGATTAATTGAACTAATGATGACCTTATGGCAGTACACAAACTAAATAAATGATCTTTAGATGTAATCTTTTGTCAACAACAAGCTTGACATGATTGAATGAATATGTATTCCTTAGCTATTTCACCTACAATCAAGTTTTTCATTTACTCTGTTGCTACTTGCGTTGGCAGATCCGGTTGACCAATGGCCAAGTACTGACCCAAAGCTTCAAGGCTAAGGAACCTCTGGCAGCAGTGCGTCTGTACATCGAGATGAACCGGTCCGATGGCACCGGACCCTTCTCTCTCCTGACATCATTCCCCCGTAAAGTCTTCTCCAGTGAAGACATGGAGAAACCACTAGACACATTAGGTGTGTTTCATATCTATATATTATACTTGTGCATCTCATTAATGCAACAAAGTAACTTTCATTGTGTACGATAATGAACGTGTGTGAGGATATTTTCGGTTTGAAATGTTCTGTTATTTCTTTACCCTTGTATGACCATTCCGATCCTAGGTAATATTTCAAATGTCAATTGAGCTACAGTGCCTTGTGGCTCTACTTTTTCAGTTCCCTGATACGGTAAACTATGTTAATAACGAACACGCCTATAACAAACTGACAGATATAACAAACTGATATTTTTGGCTCCTGGTCATTTTCAGGTATATTTTGTTATATAAAGTTCATAGCCAAAAAGAACATGCTTATAACGAAATAACGGATATGGAGAACACACTTTGTGGTCCCGAATGTACACTGTTAAGGACAATGTTTACGTATGTAACAAACTGTTAATCTTTGAGCTGCTCTCGTGTCACTAATCAGCCTGTCAAAATGTCCACTGCCACACGCAGATGTTTAATTTCCTCAATTTACACCCTTGATTAACAATAGTAAACCGTGATTAGGCTAAAGTTTTTGAAGTGGATATATTCTGTCGCAATCACATGACTTGATGCAAGATGTCTAATAGTCAAACTGCTTATGACTATAACTACAGTTATAATGAAAATTAGCGGTCCCTTTGAATTTGTTATATACGTAGTTATAACCGTAGTTTACTCTTTATTCATGAATAAATCTCTCATGGTAGGTTAAATCATTGAAGATTTGATAGTTTTTATGTTGTTGTTTTTTCAGGCTTAGTTCCATCAGCTGTTTTGATCGTGTCAAAGCCTCAGTGATAAGGTTGTCATCAAGCAAGCATTCATGTGGATAGCAGAGCAATGGTTTTAGTGTTACATGTCAACAAGGCATCTTTGGAACATCATTTTCCAGTTCCAATTGTGAGGCAGGATACAAAGTGTGTGCTCAAGATGTTTCTCAGGAGAGACTGGTTTGTGGACTACAACACAGAGGAGGCGAAATCAGGCTGACTCCCACAGTTGTGTTACACAAGTTACTGAATATCTCAATCGAATTGGATATCTTACAGTGTAGTGTTATACATTCTAAGATCTTTATAGTTTTATGCCTTTGACACTGTATACAGGAAAGTAACTTCTTAAGGTTTTTTGTGTCCATCTTGTCAAGATGTTTTATTCATCACTGTGAAAGGCAAACAAGGAAAAAGGAAGGCTAGTTATTCTTCTCACAACATCATGTCCATGATGGTGGTAATGTATCAACTCAAACTAATACTGTTTCTAGGATCTCAGATACACCACCAATTCCATTTTTAGAAAGGTTTTTGAAACAAATCAATCTGGCTTTTTCTGCTGGCTTGATAAGCATGAATGGCCACGTAGTGTTGATCTGTAACTCACAAGGAAGTGAATGTTTTGTGCCGTAGTCAGGAATATTCCAGCTATATAATGGCAGCCTATAAATAATCAGCTCAGATACAGCTGAACAAACGGGAGAGTGCGTGATTGACAATCCATGGCGCTGGCCGGGGTGTACAGTGTGTCTTCATTGCGACTGCATGATCCTCATCTACACTGGCTCCTACAACAAGCATGGAGCCACTGGAGACTGAGGTCATGTTCTCTTGAGGAATCCCCACAGTCGGTACCTTATGAAAATGAAGTAGGTGATCTCTGAAGGAGCTTGCTTTGTGTGTTTGCATTATTTCTTGTCCATTAAGTCATAACAAATTATATGGTCAATGACCATTACAGTTCTGCTGGTGTGTTTTCCACCATCTCTGTGTAAAATATTATTGCCAGTTTAGTGTTTGTCAAAGTGTTTTTAATTTTGCTTCCTGTGAGATTTCTCATTTAATGGACTGGGTGAGTTGGCCAGGTTTTGAGTGCCATCACACCCTGACAGCATGGATCATAATGTCATCCACTGGGTTGTCTTGTCCTGACTTGACTATTTAAAGGTTGTCTTGTCGGACTTGACTATTTAAAGGTTGCCTTGTCGGACTTGACTAATTATAGGTTGTCTTGTCCAGACTTGACTAATTAAAGGTTGTCTTGTCCAGACTTGTCTATTTAAAGGTTGTCTTGTCCAGACTTGTCTATTCAAAGGTTGTCTTGTCCAGACTTGTCTATTCAAAGGTTGTCTTGTCCAGACTTGTCTATTCAAAGGTAGTCTTGTCCTGACTTGACTATTTAAAGGTTGTCTTGTCGGACTTGTCTATTTAAAGGTTGTCTTGTCGGACTTGACTATTTAAAGGTTGTCTTGTCCAGACTTGTCTATTCAAAGGTTGTCTTGTCCAGACTTGTCTATTCAAAGGTAGTCTTGTCCTGACTTGACTATTTAAAGGTTGTCTTGTCGGACTTGTCTATTTAAAGGTTGTCTTGTCGGACTTGACTATTTAAAGGTTGTCTTGTCGGACTTGACTAATTATAGGTTGTCTTGTCTGGACTTGACTATTTAAAGGTTGTCTTGTCCAGACTTGACTATTTAAAGGTTGTCTTGTCCGGACTTGACTATTTAAAGGTTGTCTTGTTGGACTTGACTATTTAAAGGTTGTCCTGTCGGACTTGACTATATAAAGGTAGTCTTGTCCTGACTTGTCTATTCAAAGGTAGTCTTGTCCAGACTTGTCTATTTAAAGGTTGTCTTGTCCAGACTTGTCTATTTAAAGGTTGTCTTGTCCAGACTTGACTATATAAAGGTAGTCTTGTCCAGACTTGTCTATTCAAAGGTAGTCTTGTCCTGACTTGACTATTTTAAGGTTGTCTTGTCGGACTTGTCTATTTAAAGGTTGTCTTGTCGGACTTGTCTATTTAAAGGTTGTCTTGTCGGACTTGACTATTTAAAGGTTGTCTTGTCCAGACTTGACTATTTAAAGGTTGTCTTGTCCAGACTTGTCTATTCAAAGGTTGTCTTGTCCGGACTTGACTATCTAAAGGTTGTCTTCATACAGCTGGGAAATTGCTGAGTGCTGCATTAAACTACGAACAAACATATTTTATCTTTTCATTGTTATCAACATGCTCCAAATTTGAAGTGTGAAAGTTTGTAAGATCTAGTAGGTGTCTCCCAAAGTAATTTGATGTACTAGTTGGAATTAGTTCATGGTGTCAGTTGTGGGTTTGAATCCCTTGGTCTATGGGTGGGTGTCTTATGTTTACCCTGGTGCAACTAATTGCTCCCTGACAATATTATCCATAGGTGTGATGTTCTCATTGTGAAAGGACATCTGAACTAGTCAGGTTCGATTTAAGGATCTTGATTTACCTTGCTCCAGGTGCATGTTTACGTGAAAGTCAAGTTGCACCAGACAAAACTAGGTTGCACCCTGGACCCATAAGTTTTTCAAAGTTGAAACAAGGGCCGCTCTGCTGCCTGTGTCACATTAATTAATGACATATTGCTGTCAAATGTACATGACACACATTACACATAACACAGAGATTAATGAAGTAGTATGGTAAATGAACCTTAGAGGCAGTGGGGGGGGACACAGGTCCCTGACTTGTTTTTGTTCTGTATACAGACTATGTCAGCATGCTGTCATTGTGATGTCATGGTGAGAATGTCTCACCTCACAAAGGAGATACCCGTTGTTTTGTTTCATATGGATTTCATTATGTCTTTGGACAGTATCAGAAACCACCATTGTTAAGATGATCAAAATGTGCACAGTACTTGTGATCTTGTTTATATCAATTTTAATACAACTAAATCAAAATTAAGACACCAAAATATCCACGCATCATAAAGATTTTTAAAAATAAGACAATATAGCATGATATAGTGTTAGGATAACATGAATTTTGTTATGTAGAGGCCATTGTGCTGTACAGTGTACAGCATTGTACAGATGGTGTGAATTTCCATACACATCATATATGTAACAAATGTTATATATAACTCTCTTAGTATGGCAATTCACACACATGTTCTGGCATTGTGTGTTCATGTTTGTTAGCAGAGCCTATGTACATAGATGTGTTTGATTCTGACATACCAGGGTTTTGTTGAGATGAAGATAACAATGATAGTAACGTGAGCCCAGAGTTGGGATGGACTTTACAGAAATCTACCAGGTAACAAATATTTTGCAAACAAGGTTAATATGATTTTAAAGGACCATTCTGTGAAACCCAAGTACATTTTTAAGAAATAATAAGAATCTTGGGAAAAAACATCACCATGGTTACCGGAATATTGGCAGAATCACATGATAAAATCATGTGTTTACCCTAATAATATCACATTAAATCTCCTGTTGATATGCGGAGATTCAGCAGCATTGAATAGGTTAGCCAGTGATGACATGAATGAATCATGCATTAATCTGTTCTGGTAATGTTCCTTGTAAATATGACTTACAGTACATATCTTATCTTCAGACAAACTATTCCACCACCATTGATTATTGGCACAACAGTGATAACAGCAGGTGTCTATAGGCCATCAACAAGAACTCTCTACTAACAAGGGAGTAGTCTGTCACTTCTGTCCAGGAAATAGGAAATTACAAAACAAAATATCACCTTCCTGCAGCAAGGGAGATAACTGACTACAAAAGTCCAGTTTCATCTCTTGCTGAACTAGGCTGGAGTTATGGAGTTATGTTTATGCTGGACTAACGAGTCTATGCATAGTCCAGCCACAATCTCAAAACGTAATCAACATCCGGTTCGTAAACTGCCATGTAGATTTCAGTTGATTTCATGATTTGCAGAGCATGTGTACCGTCAACAGTGCGTCCACAGATATTTTCGAAATCTTTTCATGGTTGTAATCAAGGTGCTCAAGTGATTTGATGCACTATGTGAAGTAAGACCCATTTTATTACAATATAGACTTGATAATTAATCAAATCGTCTTGACTGCGTGCCGCCATTTTGTTTGAAGCAAATGCAAGTAATATGAGAGGGGGAATCTGATCAGTCAGTAGAAGGGACTACAATGGAGCCCATAAATTCCAGTCTAGTTCAGCAAGGTTGGAAACTGGACTTTTACAGTCAGTTAACTCACTTGCCTCGAGAAGATGCAAAATATAGAAAATGAATTTTATAAACAATATACAGTCAAGTCTCGTTAATCCGACACTCGTTAATCCAACAATCGGCTTTATCCGACACTAATGATGGGAACCGAGTAAATCAGTGCTATTTTGACCCGTTAATCTGACAGTCTTGCACTCCGACTCCGACACACCTAATTTGCAACGAATTTCCGAAATCACTCATTAATCAGCCTTGTTAATCTGACACAGTCATCAGCGTACTCCGTGGTCATCAGCCCACGAGTCCACAGCCCTTGTTTTGATGCGAAGCGAGTCGGCTGATGGCTGCATATTACAACGGCTGCAGAGATAAACTTGCTTGACAATAAACAATTAATGCTTTAAATAAAGAAAACAGGATTAATCACATGCTTAGATTACATCAATCTCATTAACATCAGATACAAGTTCTCGCTGTTGCCGAGGACATCCCATTACAGGTCACGTCAGAACCTTTCACAAACTATGACCGACCAATAAAATGAAGTCAACGTTAGCCACTTAGAAAGCAGCTATCTTAAGCTTTGCGGTACCAGTTTCAAACTTGCAACTTCCATTCCAAACTCAGCTTTTTAAAGTATTTTGAATACGTCATACAGTCAGTAACAGTTATTTTGTGTTGAGCGTTAGAGGTTGCATGATTAGAAAACATATTCCGCTAACAATGTAACGTAACAATATAAATATTTCATTTTTATTTTTTTATTACATTTCTGTATTGTTATCTATCATGTAGTTAATTTCGTTTATCCGACATATTCGTTAATCCGACATAATAATATGCAACCAACCATGTGGGATTAACAGGACTTGACTGTACAGATGAACATGGTGCATGTTCTGAAGTGCTGAATAGAGATATTGATACTGACTCTACTGACCTTGGTGAAAACTCAATTGTTATTTTGTTTTAATTTAGACAGAGTGAAAGAAGAAGATGCCCAACTAAAATGTGCCATATCAAAATCCTGTGTATTGTTGTCTGTGCCTTATGAGTTGTATGAGCAATCCAGTAATACACAGCGCAGTGTGTGCACTTCTTCCAAGACAGTAACAAAACAAAGTATGGGATTCTACACTGTCTGCTGCTTAAAACCATAGTTACCCTGTGCTGGTACATATATCTACCATGTCTGTTAGTAAATACAATGTAGTACCTTAGGAAGTAGAAGATGATACAGGATATATGTTATATAGACAGATATGTCACAAGACTTCTAGAATTAGATTGCCCACATGTTTCTGTCCTTTTCATGAAACAAGTACAGTAAACTACATAATTAGCATCTCCCTCTACATGTCTGATTATATTTATTGGTTGGAAATAAACTGCACACATGAAGCAGGACAATGCCCCTCAGGAGTGCTCGATTTGCCCTGAAATATTTAGATTACCAGATACAGTAATAAATAGTTCGTAAGAGAGAGTTTCTTTTTCAGGTGAGATTCACAAATTTGGTTTGAATGACTTCCTATAAGGTTTGTCAGTGACACAGTGGAAGTGTGAGTGTTGTTGGTGAACACTTGTGCTGTTGCTTCCCTTGAAGGAGACTCTTTGTTCTGGTGGCTTGTGATGCTACTGGAGGGAGAAATTGTTGAAATGCTAGGGTGTTTTTAATTTATACTTTATCCATTACCTATATTGAAAACTGATGAACCTGACAAGTGGCCAGGAATCTTTCCGAGTCTATGTTAGAGTCTATCACCCTGTATTATGCTGATGTTCTGTTCCAGTTGTGTAACAGCATTGAAATGTCATATTAAATATTTTCTAATTTGTTCATGGTGTCTTTCATTTCTAGTGTATCTGGGTTTATGGTGTGTTGGTAGTCATCTGCCCTTCACCCTGCTATAGTGTGGTATGTTGGTAGTCACCTGCCCTTCATCCTGCTATAGTGTGGTATGTTGGTAGTCATCTGCCCTTCATCCTGCTGTAGTGTGGTATGTTGGTAGTCATCTGCCCTTCATCCTGCTGTAGTGTGGTGTGTTGGTAGTCATCTGCCCTTCATCCTGCTGTAGTGTTGTATGTTGGTAGTCATCTGCCCTTCACCCTGCTATAGTGTGGTGTGTTGGTAGTCATCTGCCCTTCAGCCTGCTGTAGTGTGGTGTGTTGGTAGTCATCTGCCCTTCATCCTGCTATAATATGGTGTGTTGGTAGTCATCTGCCCTTCATCCTGCTGTAGTGTGGTGTGTTGGTAGTCATCTGCCCTTCATCCTGCTATAATATGGTGTGTTGGTAGTCATCTGCCCTTCATCCTGCTGTAGTGTGGTGTGTTGGTAGTCATCTGCCCTTCATCCTGCTATAATATGGTGTGTTGGTAGTCATCTGCCCTTCATCCTGCTGTAGTGTGGTATGTTGGTAGTCATCTGCCCTTCATCCTGCTATAGTGTGGTGTGATGGTAGTCACCTGCCCTTCATCCTGCTATAATGTGGTGTGTTGGTAGTCATCTGCCCTTCATCCTGCTATAGTGTGGTGTGTTGGTAGTCATCTACCCTTCAGCTGTGTTTAGCAATGTTCACTCACTCTAACAATGGTGAGGTGAAATGGGGTTTGACATCATGATCTAGATGATTGTACTCATATAGCAACGTGTGTGCACACGTGTGTGTGTATGTGGCTGTTTGTACTAGTCAGGACTAATGCCGATTTTATAGTGCTCGCTCACTGAGATATCATGCTGCAGTTTAACAAGCAGACCAGTCCTTGTTTTAGCACCTTAATGCTTAGCGCCAAGCAGGGTAACAACAAGTACCATCTTTTAATGTCTTGTGGCATGGGGAGGCTTGGGATCGAACCCCGACCTTCCGCTCTCCAGGCAGATGCTGTACCACTAGACAGCAGAGGCGGTCTCTAACAATGGTATTTCACAACTTTTCCGTTGATGTATCATTGGTTCTGCCATACTAATCTGTCATTAATGTACATGCAATAAGCATAAGGTAAACACTGTTATCTTTGTTATATATTTTTTACAAATTCTCGTTTACACGTTGTATGATAACCTTGAGATCTAATGTTGGAAGTATTCCAGAAAGCATTTATAGGACCTCCAGAGCCTTGTGCTTACATATTAGGTAGGACCAATAGGTATGACAGATGAATATCTGAAATGGACAACTAAGATAAAAAGTGAAAGGTGCCGACAGAAATATACTTTAATGCAACTTGTCTTTCTTTGAGCAAGTCTTTTACTTACAGAAAATGTGTTTGAACTTAATGAAGTTGTATTAACAGTGTGGATGTACAAGCTGTGTATAACAATGTGACAGAACAGATTTGTGGTTCTCTCTACAACATTCATCACACTACAACAGGCTAGGTTCATCGTGGATAGAAATGATTAGATTCTCTAAAGGCTGAAAATGTCTACACGGTATAGAAATACCTTTTACACTTAAAGACATTATTCCTCCCATGACTGTGGAGAATGTCAAGACTTGGCTTCAGACATATTGTATTGATGCATATGGTAACTCAAACCCAGGTTTTGAGTATGTCTATCCAATAGCCATGTGGCTAAAGCATTCCCTCATCACACCAAAGGCCCAGGTTCAAATCCCCACATGGATACAGTATGTGAAGCCTACTTGTGTCCCCTGGTGAGATACCACTGGTGTATTGCTATAAGTCATGGAACACCACACTCACTTATTCACTAATTGTGCTTTAGGGACCTCTAAACATTAAACAGCGATATCCCTTGTTCCAAGCACTGCAATACATAACAAATGTAAGATAATTACAAGACAAGGTGTTCAAGACTCCAAGACAGGAATAACCAGAGAAATTGAATTCAGCAGTAGCATTCAGCAGGTGAGATCATGCTAAGGTGATGAAATGTGCATTGATGTAAACAACAGTCTGTGCAGTTTCTGCTCAGGACCTCTTTTGACATTTGGGGTTAATCTTCCACTGTATTCCATCACCAAGTTGTGGCAAAGAAATCGGAGCTAGTAGCAGAACCGCACAGAACCTGAGTGGTCCGAACACACCTCTTAGGTTGTCTAATGTTCCCTGGTTGTATGTTGCGATGTTTCTCTTAGCTTCGTAGCTCGTCTTCCCGCAGATGATCATCAGCATCTGCCATGTGGCAAACATTCCTGTTGCCACTAAACAGGTCAGTGTCATGTACATGTGGATCATGAGGACAAGCAGGGGGAAGGATATCACACCAGTCATCCAATCCCAGATGGGCATGACAGGAAAGTAATGGATGGCAGCAGTCGTATTGAGAGGGAATATTTCACCGAGGAAAGTAAGTTGCAGGTACAGAGCCAGGGCACACCCACAGACTGTGTAGAAACAGAATACTATGAAGTATTTTTGGTTTTGGAATCCTATACATGATGCTGTAAAGTAACAATGGTGGTCTCTCTTCATCATGCACTTGTTACACAGAGTGCAGTGGTGCGAGCGAGGAGGGGCGTCCAGCTGACAGGCGAAGCACTGTTTCCATCCTTCGGGGGTATTGTCACCCGAAAAGTATTTCTCCTTTGTGGTCTTTCGCACGTAATTTGCAACATCGTACCACGTACGATACCAGTTTGCACAAGTCTCCATGAAAACGAAAATTGCCAGAACTTCAAAGATTATAATCGAATAGAACTCTCCCCTAAAATTCGAGGGAATTAGGATGAATATCCCTTCAATCGCCAAACTCAGCAGCATGCACGTGAAATATGTCACACCGACCTTATTGGCTTCTTTCGGTTCCGGTGCAAATTTTGGCGGATTCATTTGGTAATGATTCTTGATCTTTTCTTTCAAAGAAAGTCTTTGTCTCATTTCCCCGCTTTCCATCTTGTATTAAGCGATTTTCCCCTTATGTCCCGTCAAACGTTGCAATCCTTACTATATCGGAATCGACCACGCGATAGCTTTCAACGGAGGGGGAATCCCACTGTAGCCAAGGAGATGTAAACAAATTGCGGGAGCAGTCATTATTATGTACCAAAGCGTTTCCATTAGGTCTATTGTGTGAGCACACAGTATACTATGAACAGGATTTAATACTGAATGTATTAAACATATAGTTACAAATAATATTTATAATACAGGTAACTACATATCATGTATTTGTATACAATATTATTAACCAATTGTAATATTTAGTGGATGCTCCCTCAACGCTGCGCTCGCATGCCCAGACTCATGCTTGTATATGTGGAGTTCAGTTGCTAGCAGGACTATTGTTGGACAAACACGCACTCGTTGTATAGCTTGTCTTTCTACAGAACGCTCGCAACTTGATGACGTAGTACATTGAACGACGTTAGTTTTGAGAGTGAAGTGTCCAGTGAGTTGCTCTCCATAGATGTAGCTGGTCAGCGCTGATAAACGCAATGACCGAATGATTTCGCATCCCAAAGTGGGAGAGATATGACAATCGGTATTGGGAAAATAGCTACAGATAATCGACGTGGGGATTGTAAGAATATGCGTTAAGATATGGGTAAATATTTTTGAAAGCTTATGCATTTTATTAACATCGGAGCCCGTACATAATATTATGTTGATATCTCATATAAGAAACAAACGACACGCGCAGTCGTTGTTTATCCTAAATAAAACACTGCAGGGAAAATACACAACTGGCGGCTGCGTCATTCATAGATTATTCTCCCTGCAATGATTTATTGTACGATAAATAACTCCCACTCGTCGTTTATTTCGTAAATATGTACCTTTTGAGTCCGTTCCATATTGTTTCAGACCATGCTTGTCGTAAAAGGCGACTAACGGGATCTGGTGGTCAGGCTCGTTGACTTGGTTGATGCATGTCATCGATCTCAATTACGTGGATCGATGCTCATGAGGTCAACCACTGGATTGTCTGGTCCAGACTCGATTATTTACAGACCGCCGTCATATAGCTGGAATATTGCTGAGTGCGGCGTTTAATCACAAACAAACACAATATTGTTTCAGAAGATGTGTTAAGTCTACAATTGAATGTTTACCCTATGTACTAGGCAGCGACAATTTTCGACATCTCAGTTAGACATCAAAATGCACTGCTGCAAAGACGCAGTACACGCCAAGCATTCTCATTTGGTGAAATATATTTCACTCCAAGTTGTAAATGCCGACGTGTGTGAAATGTTGACATGCACGAGGCGTCCGTCTTCAATTTCAGTAAAAGAAAGCAACACAATAGTGGAAAATCATTTATCACTCAGCGGAGTTTTCTAATCTTGGTGTGGTGTTTAAGTGCTTTTTCCAATGGACGATGAACAATAATCCCACGTCAGCGTACTAAACGTATGTCTACAATGTTCAACATCAGGTCCAATTCAAGTCGTCTCTCCGTCTATCATAACCACGTGTCCTGCACTGTACACCGCCCAGTCCTCATCTGCTCCCTGTGTCCCTGCAACACAACAGGTTGTGACTCTACCATGACGGGATGGGGGATAGCGGAATACATGCACCAACAGTTTGAGTACTGGTAACTGCCACAACATAACACCACCCATGGGCGGATACAGGGTGTGTGTGTGTGTGTGGGGGGGGGGGGGGGGGGGGGGTGTATAAATTACCACCAAAGACAATAAATAGATCTTAATTGTGCACACACACCCCCACCCCCCCACACACCCACACACCCTTTAAAAAAATTCGTATCCGCCCATGCCACCCGTGAAGAACCGGGGTAGAATTTGTCTCCAGCAACCTATTCTTGCTGTATAAGGCGACTATGCTTGTCTCTTACGTAGATCGATGCTCATGATGTCAATCACTGGATTGTCTGGCCCAGACTCCATAATTTACAGACAACCGCCATACAGCTTGAATATTGCTGAGTGCGGCGTAAAACAACAAACAAACACAACATAATATTCTTCCTACACAAAGTGGGCGGTGATATTGCCGACATATTCCTGACTGCACCGTCACCAGTAAACATAATGTCAATACATTTGCAGCTGGTTACGGGTGCCAGAATGCTATCATTACGGATATCATAAATATTTGATGCATGAGTCATATTAATGCAGTTTCCTCAAATACATGTTTTAATTGTGGTTCTCACCTGAAATCAGTCTCTTCTCTTCTTCTTAAGGTCCATCTTGTCGCGGATCCTGTAGCCGAGATATGCTCCAACCAGCAACGACACCGCGGCCACGAACACCACACTCGAGCCAGAAAAGGCTGCGTTCATTCGAACAAACTCTCTCATTTTTACGCTGGTATTTTCACAAACAGTGCATAACACACCTACAAGATACCGAGACTACCGATATCGTTGTACCTTGGCCCCTGTTGACAGGTGATGCGGTGTTATTGTCCGACTGACATCTAGAGGATGATCACATCAGGCTTCATAACTACACGTGATACTTATTTTGTAAGACTTGATGTTGCACGGTTAAGCGAAGAAGTAGCAAACAGAAAATGCAAGCGTTGTTGCCACAGTGTCTAAACACAAATACAAATAAAACACAACTACCATATAAGTGTATACGTATTACAACACTACAACCAAATCATGTTGTTGTATCTTTTCAACACATATAACACAACTACCATATGTGTATACCTATTACAACACTACAACCAAATCATGTTGTTGTATCCTTTCAACAAACTTAACACAACTACCATATAAGTGTATACCTATTACAACACTACAACCAAATCATGTGGTATCTTTTCAACACATATAACACAACTACCATGTGTGTATACCTATTACAACACTACAACCAAATCATGTTGTTGTATCTTTTCAACAAATATAACACAACTACTATATAAGTTTATACCTATTACAACACTACAACCAAATCATGTTGTTGTATCCTTTCAACAAATATAACACAACTACCTTGTGTGTATACCTATTACAACACTACAACCAAATCATGTTGTATCCTTTCAACAAACTTAACACAACTACCATATAAGTGTATACCTATTACAACACTACAACCAAATCATGTTGTATCTTTTCAACAAATATAACACAACTACTATATAAGTGTATACCTATTACAACACTACAACCAAATCATGTTATTGTATCTTGTCAACAAATATAACACACTACCATATAAGTGTATACCTATTACAACACTACAACCAAATCATATTGTATCTTTTCAACAAATATAACACAACTACTATATAAGTGTATACCTATTACAACACAACAACCAAATCATGTTGTTGTGTCTTTTCAACAAATATAACACAACTACTAAATAAGTGTATACCTATTACAACACTACAACCAAATCATGTTGTTGTATCTAGTCAACAAATAGAACACAACAACCATATGTGTATACCTATTACAACACTACAACCAAATCATGTTGTTGTATCTTGTCAACAAATATAACACAACTACTAAATAAGTGTATACCTATTACAACACTACAACCAAATCACGTTGTATCTTTTCAACAAATATAACACAACTACTATATAAGTGTATACCTATTACAACACAACAACCAAATCATGTTATTGTATCTTGTCAACAAATATAACACAACTACTAAATAAGTGTATACCTATTACAACACTACAACCAAATCATGTTGTATCTTTTCAATAAGTATAACATAACTACTAAATAAGTGTTTACCTATTACAACACTACAATCAAATCATGTATCTTTTCAACAAATATAACACAACTACCATATGTGTAAACCTATTACAACACTACAACCAAATCATTTCACCCGCCCCTTAATATTTAATATCCAGAGGCTTCAGGGGCACGCATACTGCCGCCCCTGAAGACGGTATCACCTTCTCAACTAGGGAATTGACAACCCAAACCAGGGACACCATCTGTCCATCAGAGGAACTCCTCCAAGAGGCACTAAAGGTATTCGAAGATGTGGATCTCGGCGGCTCCACGCCCGCCACCATTGACGGAGAGAGCCAGTTCTAACCTCCATCAAGCCTCCTGTCCGCCAACGCACTCGTCCACTACCCACACATGATCGACATGGACGGGTACGACGTCACCCTAGTGTTCCCCAAAAGCACGGCATACATGTATGTGCACAGGACACTACAACCTGCCTCTCTCGAGGGGATCGCCCTACTCGCCACAGGCACTATCTGACTGAGCCGTGGGCGGAGACTGGAACCAAGAAGAAGGATGGCATGCTGGGTTGAACAAGATCGGCACATAACATCCTCACTTGTATACATTTATAGACATACTGAAGAAGGAGAGGCCACACACCGAGACAACATGATGACGGATCTTGAAATCAACGAATTTCCCTGGTTATACTGTTTTAGGTAGTACAAAATCAATGATTGTTGTATGTTGTATGTATTATTGCATACCAAACGTATCAAATACTTTCTCTACTGTATTACCTAATATATACCGCCGTCATATAGCTGGATTATTGTTCAGATCGGCGTTAAACAACAAACAAACCTAACATATATCTACGTTGCCCACTCACATCTATGGGGAACAACTCACTCGACTCTTCCCGCTTAAAAACAACGTCGTCCAATATGCAATCAATTTGCGAGCGATCATTTACAGACCGCTGTCATATAGCTGCAACATACACTCTTCAAAAAAAAAGGAAACGCACAGGTAGTATGTAGTTCATTGAACCTGACTACACAAAAAATCCGGTATATAAATTGGATATATGTTATTGGAAAATGTTGGTGGCCTGATATTCGACAAACGGTGCGTCAAAACGCAGCCATTGTCGATTTGCAATGTCTTAAACGGCATTGTTTTCACACTTGTTCAAAAATGTCATGGAGGAAAACAATAATGCACAACACGTGCAAGTTATGGCATTCGTAACTCGGGGTAGTGGCTATAAAAAGGCAACTATAAGCCAATAATTTGTCATTCAATTGTCAACATTTTTTAAGTTCGAAAATGCCAAGACTCGGCGCTGCCGATCGGAACATCGCCATAGGACGTATCCAAAGAGGGGAATCGCAGTCTTCTGTGGCACGCCACTTCAACGTCCACCACAGCATCATTTGCCGCCTTTGTAAACCGATATACACAATTCAATTCCACTGCAGACCGTCCGAGAACTTTACGAGGCTGGAATCCGACCCAGAGGACCAGTTATCGTCCCTGCTTTGCAACAGATCCATCGACAGCGACGCTTGCGTTGGTGCCATACCTTACATCCTTGGAATTTGAGAAACTGGAGACGAGTGTGGTTTAGCAGTGATTTACGATTTCTTCGTCGTCGTGTTTATCGTCGTCGAAATGAGCGTTTTGCCCGACACTGTGTACGTGAATTCGACCATTTCGGTGGCAGTAGTGTCATGGTGTGGGTTCCCATATCCTACACAAAGAGATCTGACTTGGTTGTGGTTCAGGGAAATTTGACAGCAAATCGCTATATGAATCAAATTCTTCAACCTCACCTTCTTCCAATCATTGACCGCCAGAGGGAGCTGTTTCAACAGGACAACGTTCCACCGCACACAGCTCGTGTCACGGTAGACTGCCTTCATAATGCCAACATCAACGATTTGTCCTGGCCGTCGAGATCTCCAGATCTCAACCCAATCGAACAACTCTGGGAAGAATTTGATCGACGTGTACGTCAACGTCAGAACACGCCGCAGACACTCGTGAATCTGGCCAAAGCGTTACAAGCAGAATGGCGCAGAATTCCACAGGACAGAATTTGTACACTTATCCAGTCAGTGCCGAGGAGATGCAGAGCCGTGATTGCTGCCACGGGCGGTCACACGAGATACTGAGTCCACCTTGTGGCCTTATGTGGCATGACAATGAACAGTTTTCATTGCCTTTGTACATCGACAACATGTGACTATCGAGCTCCAAATTTTCATATTTGTATCTATGACATTAATTAAATATATCGACTTTATTAGGTACAATAATGTACTAAAAACCTAGCTGTGCTTTTCTTTTTTTGAAAGTGTATATGCGGCGTTATATAGTGAGATTGAGTTTTTGTTAAATTGTCCCAATGTTTCAGATTGTGGAAGAACAAAATCAACTATCGGCCACAAAAATGACACTGCAAGGTGTTTTTCATAAATTAATATTCAAGCTAATAGTTACAAATTAAAATATTTAAAATGGATATTTGGTCTTGCAGCTGTAGCTGAAGCAATATTTGTTATCCAAACAAAATCCCAAGCCTCTCCTCTCCATAATATGAAATAGTCCCTCACAACTTATTGAGACAGCAGTGCTCTATACATCACTTAAAATCTCATACTATTACATCCATCCCCTGTAACAGAAAAACTTGAATAACAGTCGGCCACAGATCGTATTGTTTGGCAGCCATATTGGATTCGATGTTTTTACAAGAGGTCTCATGCAAATGCTGCAGAAAGACGTGACGAATAATGTGAAAACTCACTGTCTCATAAGGTGAAGCAACAGCTTTGAACTTTTGTCTTAAACGCCTTTCACTGTGATTTTATGGATTGTCTCACTACAGATGAAGTGACAAAAACATAACCAGAAGCACCATTACATTTATGACTAATTAATCATGAGCAATCGACAATGATTCGTACACGGTCCACTCCAGGGGGGATATGTTTTAAAATACATCTTACGCAGCCATGAATGTATTTCCGAAACCGAAAGTGACAGATTCTGGACTTAAATTGCTTATGACCTATACCTTTTAAGGACCCCTGTTTACGTATAAAATTGCAGTTTAACTGAACCATTGGATTGATGGTTTTCGTAAAAGCGGCATAAATCATATTATTGTCGCCTCGCCTTATATTTTCTTTTCTGCTAATCAAATGAGACACCGTATACGGCAATTTAAGACACCATAACTAATATCATCATGTACCTATCAATGATATGATTCATTTTGCTTTTGCGATGGAGCCAACATGGAGACGGTCATATCACAGGGGGTGTAATAACCAGACCCGTATTACACTCCTTGTCGGACTGATAAAGCTAGTCAATGCAGTTTGAATGGGCGATCGATATCAGCCTGGGTGGTAAGGAATTGGAGTTACGTCCCTTAGTGCGTTGTCTGCTCGGCAAGCTTTCCCGTGACATCTTCCAAACAAGGGCAACATGAATTCTATTCACTTGTAAAATAGATACATTTTACAATATGATGTTGTGGTATATGCATAAAGGTTATTATGTGTCAGTTTTCATATCATACCCCCTATCGACACGAGACCCCCGATATCAGCCCGAGGGCCTAAGGGGGATCTCGGGCTGATAGGGGACATGATATGAAAACTGCCATAAAGTAAGCTCTAAATATATCACAGAAGCTATTGGCCCAACAACTTGGG